CAATCTCCTCTGCAGTGGGCCCACTCGAGTTCCATACCGGGCTCACTTTAGTCCACACTGGACTCTCACTACTGCTGGTGCCATCTGAGCTCAGGGAATGAGGTAAGTAAGGGTATAGAAAGAAGAAAAGGAAAACAAGAGAGAAAGAAAAAAGCAAAGTGGTCGGAGTGGATGAGCTGTGGCTCAGGAACCCCACTCCGACGCCATCTTGTTTAGGCATTTTATTATGCGCAAAGTATATAAATAATTTACAAGTGTTAAAAGATGTTTAATTCAAAAAGAACATCCATTCTGGATTTGTGAAGGTATGCTGCTGAAATTTGCAAAATAATATTGTTAGGCCTGTTACCATCAGATTAAATGATCACGCTTCGGTGTAATAGTTTCGGGGAGAGAAGAGAATGAGAGCGGTGTAACACAATATTGATATATTCTAAACAATCCATATTTCCAAATCCTGGTCAGCCACATGAACGGACTCTCCAGCAATGAATCCTACCTGTAACTAAAACCTGATGTTTAACACACCTAATAAGTAAGAGCAGTCAAACTTCCAATTTCTTTAACCTTATAACGTATGCTCCTGTAGGAAGGACAGCTAACATTCAGACAGGGTTAGAACATCATGCAGCTTGCCTTTCTAGCTTCATTATTGTCACTGCAGCTCACACAGTTAATGATGAAAACTGAACATCTATGTAAAAATGTGGTTATATATTTGATATCAAGTTTCATCCATGCCCGCCATGTGCCTTCGGAAGGTTTTCTTTATCCTTTACTTTCTTCTACATCAAGGTGAGCTAAGCTGGAGGGAGCCTGCCAATAGCCGAGCCAGTTGGCCTTGGGTGGACCAACCCAGGGCTATTTGTGGCTAAGAGGGCCCAGACATGTTGAGAGCGGCATGGCCAGATGGAGGCTCACCAAGCCCCTTCTCAATAGGGTTGAGGATTGCGGGTAGGGCAGGGCGGAGGTCTGCAGCATGCTGAAATAGACTTCTGGAGGATGTGTACGTGGTTCCTTCTTTGGCTGAATATCTATAGACAACACCCTGTCTAGTTGTGAGGAAGGGCATCTGGAGTAAGAGAAGTCAAGCTCCCTCATCCACTTGTTGCCTTGTCATTGATGCTGGGAGCCAGTGGCTAGAGTGAGGGAATGCAGACACTAAGGGTGCTGGACCTGGCTGTCAATGGTAGCTTCCAACCCTACCACAGGGACTACCAGGTGCCAATGCCATCATCAGAAGGTACAAATTATGTTGGTGTTCTTCTCCAAATGTCGATACAATTACCTGAGTGCCTCCAACAAAGCTCCCTGTTGCGCCTCTGTCTGTTTGAGCATTTGAATGAAGTTCTGAACGACTGATATTATGGGGGTTCACTCTTGTTTGGACTAGTGCCTAGTCTCCAACAATCCTCCAAGTACCAGTGACCTGGACCATTTCATCCTCAGCCAGCAGCAGAGATGTGCCAAGGATATGCCCACCAGAATGTGTTCCTGATGCTAATCCACTGAACATACCCACCAAGCTAGTAACGTCTGATAGAGGGTGCAGGAGACAATTTTGCCAGAACCTTTTTTTTTTCTGAGGGCTCTGTGGCTTCTTTCTCAACATGGAGGAGGGGACAATGTCCTGAGGGTCTGCTCTCTTTCAGGCACAACCTGGGTGAGATCGAGTGATGCCTGCAGGAGAAAATTAGTTGTGAAATTCAGTAGAAGCTTGGACATGTTAAGGATACATTCACAGGGGCAGGAATGAGACAGTAGCATAGCTCTCGGCAATGAATCTTACTTGATTACCGAGAGATGGAGATCTTGGCAACAGCACATGAGCAGTCACAGTGTTTTCTCACTAAGGCAAGGAGTCTCCCCTTTTAGGAGATGAGGAAATGAATGGTATCACCTCACATATCTTGGTTTTTTTTAGCCCTATTTTCTTCTGGAATAAGACAAAGCAAGAGTTTGAGTGAGATGAAAGAGGTGGAACAGCTGTTAGTGTTAGATCCTCTGTGCCAGGGAAAGGTGGTGAGGTGTCCCAAGTAGGCAGCACAGGGCTGGTGTTGTCAGGGCAATGGGGGAGGTGAATTGAAGGAAGATGCTGCATTCAATAGTGAATGTGGCAGAGCATGAGCCTTGGTGTGCAGTGGGTGCAGTGGCAGAGAAAGAGTGAGGGTGAGGTATCAGAGAGAAGATGGTGGCACTGACCCTGGCAGAGTGCAGGAACACCCAACTGACCGTGATCAGTCTTGCTGCTTCTGGGGCTGTGGTGGTCCTGAGGCAAGGCGTCATCGCTCCTCTGCATCATCCTGTCCACCATCGTCTCCATGTCCCTGTTGGCAAGGCAAGGTGCCAGCTTCCTTCACAGAGCCACATCCTTTAGAATCATGTGGCCACACAGTCTGATGGGCAACTTCCGACTGGCACTGATTGCCCTGGTGCACAGCTGTATTTTAAACGTGATGCCCGTGGCACAAATACTGGGAGATGCAGCAAGTGGTGAATACCCCCACTGGCAGAGAACACACCATAGCATGAGAGTGGCATCGGAGAGGGGTGCATGTGGCACACAGGGTGAGCAGCAGGGAATTGTGTGAGATAAGCTGTGATCTCGGAGAGAAACCCAGTGCAAAACTCCCCGAAATTAAAGCAGTTGGTTTTTGGTCACATTTAGTTGACGGTATCCACCTGGCTCAGCAATACTCACCTCTCTCAGTGAGACTGTCGTACCCAGTCAGCAGCTTCAAGGCTCCTAAGGCCAGTGAATGGAGACTGCCTGATACTGCAGCAAGAATCCAGCCCAGTATCTCGCGTCCAGTTCAGAGCAGCACTCATATGTCCAAATGTTGCTGTTTTCTTTAAGAGCTCACTACAGGGCTGGTTAGTTCAGTTGGCTGGATAGCTGGTTTAACAACACAGAAAGACACTAACAGTGCAGGTTCAATTCCTGCCCTGGCTGAGGGCACCATGAAGGTCCCACTTTCTCATCTAACACCTCACCACAGTGAGCCTAAGGTTAAACTCACCACCAGTCACTGCTCTCTCCTCCTTAATCAATGACTCAGGTCTTTTTTTAAAAGGAAGGAGAACTCTGATGTGTAAATTAAATGCAAGATGCTGCCAATTGACAGGCGCAGGTACAATGGGCCGAATGGCTTCCTTCTGCATGGTAAAATTTCTGATCCTGTGGAGTATCCTGGTTTGGCCTGCTATAACCAAACCAGCCACAAGATGGTGGTGCTGTTTGTTCTGCAGACAGTTCAAAAGTTTATTAATTCAATCAGAGATAGTAGGAACTGCAAATGCTGGAGAATCCGAGACAACAAGGTGCAGGGCTGGATGAACACAGCAGGCCAAGCAGCATCATAGGAGCAGAAAGGCTGACGTTTCAGGCCTAGACCCTTCATCAGAAAAGGGGGAGGGGAAGGAGGTTCTGAAATAAATCGGGATAGAAGATGGATAGAGGAGAAGACAGGTGGAGAGGAAACAGACAGGTTAATTCATTTGTTGTTTATTCATTTGGCAGGAAACAATTCAATCTTCATATTTTTAATTACTTCTGTAAATTGTTGCACTTCCTCAAATCACATTCTTTGTGATATCTCAGAATTAACTCAGTGATAATACAGTCTAAAGCAACATGCCGTGGATACTGGAACTCTAAAGTAAACACACAAAACATGCCGGAAATATTCAGTAGCCCAGACAGCATGTGTAGAGAGACAGAAAATCAGAGATCATTCACACTTCATCAGAACAGAAGGAAAATGGAAATGTAAGTGATTATAAGCCAATGGAAGGGAGAGGTTCAGCAAAAGTAAAAGGGAAGTTCCATGACAGAGTCCAATTTGGGAGAGATTAAGATTTCATGTTACAAAAGTCAGAGAGCAGTGGAGTATGGCTGAAAAATCAAAGGTTGTGTCCTGATGAGGCGTGAATGGCATCATAAACTTTCTGAATATAAGACAGATGGATAAGGAACAAGTCTGGAAAAGAAAACTGAAAAACCTTTGGACAAGTTGGAGGCAGAAGTTATGATCTAAAGTTGTTGAATTCAGAATTGAGCCCAATGTAGAGTACCAAGAAAGAAGAAAATACTGTTGCCTCTGATCAGAAATGGTCAAATTCAATTCTTTCTCTAGTGTGCTGAAGGTGGAATTGCAATGCTAATGGAATATTGCACTGTTAAAAATGCCACTTTTTAGATAAGTTATTAAATTCCCAGCATGCAAGTATCAAATATTAGGGGACATAGGTTTAAGAAGAGAGAAGGAAAGTTTAAAGGAGATGTGCGAGGCAAGTATTTTATACAAAGGGTGGTAGGTGCCTGGAACACGCTGCGAGAGAACGTGGTAGAAGCAAATAGGATAGCAACGTTTAAGAGGCATTTAGACAGACACATGAAAAGGCAGGGAACGCAGAGAGACAAACCATTTGCAGGCAGTTCGGATTAGTTTGGCACAGATGTGGTGGGCCTAAGGTTCTATGTTCTATGTTTGTTTTTACATTGATACTTCAGCTCTCCCCTCATGTTCCTTGAAGCAAAGGTGGTCAACATTTGTCACTCTGCCAAAACGATGAAAACCAAATTATTCAAACATCTGTAATTTTGGTTTTCAAACCATGTTTTGTGTGAGCTCCAGTCTCACTTGCCTCACCTTATGACCTTACGGCTTGTACCTATACTTCATCCATGTTATAATATTATTTATTCATGCCTTCCATTGGCTGCACCAAGGAGGAGTTCTCACTGAGCCATGGAGAGTTCAAACCAGGCAGTCAGAATCATGATAATGTTATTGAAGGGGTTACCTTGTGAGGAAAAGATGGACAGGCCAAGGCTGTATCCTTTAGAGTTTATTAACTTACTGAAACGTTTCAGATCCTGAGGCAAGTTGACAGGCAGATGTTGAAAGTGTGTACCCCCACTTGTGGGGGAGACGAGAACTAGGGGACACAAGTCTAAAAAAACCAGGTCTACCATTTCAGAGGGAAAAGAGGAGAATATTTTCTCCCAGGGGATTGAGAGTCTTCAGAGCCAGTACAGACACAATAGGCTGAACAGCCTCCTTCTAAACTGTAAATACTTCTGTGATTCTGTTAAATCCTGCCCCCTGAGAGCATTGGAGGTGGGGCCATTGAATATTTTTAAGGCAGCGGTAGATAGATTCTTAACTAACAAAGGAGTCAAAGGTTACTGGAGGTAGGTGGGAATGTGGAGTTTGACCTGAATGGTCTGCTTCTTATCTTCATACATTTGTTCATATGTTTATGACTGTGAGATTTGGGTGTCAGAAGGTGAGTGTGAGTGTGAGTATTCAGCTGGGGATCTGAGAAGCTTGGAGAGAGGGGTGAATGAGTGAAGCTGCACATTTACTGTTGTGCTGAGGTGTGCTGTGCAGGACAATGCTGGGAAATCAGAGGGTAGCGCTCAGCACCAACAAGCATTGTGCCAGTCACCTGCCATGGCTCCCTGAGTTTCTGGATTCTGTCTCTAAGTCAGAGGGAGCATACCCCTGCTGCTCACTTCCTCAGTTAATCATGGGCCAAACGTAGGCAAGTGGGGCTAGTTTAGTTTGGGAAACTTTGTTGGTCTAAAGGGTCTGTATCTGTATTGTATGACTCTGGCTCCGTGGCTTGCTTGTAGAGGCTGACCTCTTCATCCCATCATTGAGAAATTGTGTCTTACTGCTGTCCCTCAGATCCTAGGGAAGAGGGAGAGACTTGGTTTGTGTTTGGGTTTGGGTGAAGGAATGGATGGGGAGGTGGGGTGAGGTGGTTGGAGGAGAAGCCCATTCCAAGCTGCTGCAGATTGAGAAGGTCCAAGTGCCTGGTGAGCCCTTTCCTTTGACACAGCACCTCTCCCAGCCTCCCCAGTCAACTGGGGAGCATAGCCATTGCATCACTAAAGCCATGCTTCTGTGTATAAAGTTCAGCTGAATCCACTCCTTCACCAATCAACTTTCTGCCCTGCAAGGGGCACTACCATTTGCCCAGGGTCTCTGTGGGAAAAATGCCACCCTGGTTTCTCTGGCAGGGAGAAAATCTTAAACATAAAATGTGTAGCCATTTCTTTCAACTTCACTTTCATGTTGTAGTCTTGAGTCATACCTCCAAGCTCACCATGTGTGTGCTACCTCAAGGTGCGATTTCCAATTTCATGCACATTTTGGTCAGTTTCACACAGGAAACTCAGATTTATTAAGACACGAGCTGAGATCAAAGTCCCCTCTACATTTTTTACCAAGCTTGCAGCCTGTTCATTTGGATGCGTTTGAACTTTAATGGCCCAGATCTCCCTGTGTCTAGATAGTCCAAGACTGGACTAACTCTAGAAGGTGCATAGTGAGACCTCCCAGAGATCCTGACACACCAAGCACATGGCATGCCCCAGGAAGTTTAAACTTCAAATAGGCAACTATCCCAGCACCGGGAACACTCTGAAAAGTCACCAGCTCTGAGTTAGAGTCAGAGACTTTGTACGGGTCTAACTTATTAGTTAAGCAGGAAAGGTTGGAGGATTAAAACCACCTACAACTCCTCAGTACATCAAAAGACGGCTGGACCCACCGCTGGAGCCTCGAATCATTAACACTGAGCCCCTCTGAGACAGGTGTCCCGACCCACGGACATCCCACCTTACGGACTCCAGATTGATCCACCCCTGTCACCTTTAGCTCAGTTAGCTGTGCAGCTGGTTTGCAGTGTAAAGTGGTGCTGATAGCACAGGTTCAATTCCCACACTAGCTGAGGTTATCTATGGTAGACTCTGCTTCTCAACCTCTCCCCTCACTTGAGGTATAGTGAACCCCAGGTTAAACCACAACCAGTTGTCTCTCTCTAATGAGAGGGAAGGACTATGGTGACTTTACTTTTACCCACCTGGTACTTCCCCACTTACCTTCGCTCAGTAAGTGTCAAAGTGGCTTTGGGAGCTCTAGACATTTTACTTACTGGAATATGGCATTTACTGCTGTAACAAAGGAGCATGGCTTTTACAGTGGACTGCTCCGACGCTGTCTCTGTGTGGTTAGCTGATGTGCTTCTTTTGCAATGTATTCTGAATCAAGACCTGATAACTCCTGCAAAGTTAAGGGCGGCAAAATTTAGCCTGGCACCGGGTCAGAAATATGAATTCCAGCTCAGATTGGAAGATCCAGGCCGTACATTGTTTTGGCCTGGGTGGAAATAGTGCAGTACCCTAACTGGGACAACTTGTGAGCATCGGAGATAGTAAGAACTGCAGATGCTGGAGTCAGAGACAACACAGTGTGGAGCTGGAGGAACTCAGCAGGCCAGGCAGCATCAGAGGAGCAGGAAAGTCGATGCATCCTGTGCTGAACCTTCCAGGGTGCTGAGTCCTCACAAACCACACAACTTACAGAAAACATTAGGCAAGACCACCCAGACACAATTCATTGTGAGCCTCCACAGCCAGAAGTCATTCCATCAGCCTGAACTAGATTTAAAACTAGATGTACTTTACTTTGCTCACTGTGAAGTCTCAATGAGTTTGATAATTCAATCTGATTGTTATTCCAAATAAAACATATTTAGTAACAAGAAGACTTCATTCCCAGAGCATCCTCTTGGACACTTTGAGGTCTTGGTGATACCTTTAACATAAGACAAATATATTTCATAACTGTAAAAAGTAGTCCAATGGATTTGACTGTTTTTTGGTGTGTGATACACTTTCCTGTTTCTTACATTAATAATTCTTGCTAAACAGTGCACTTTCTCAACAAAACTGCACAACATCCATCATTGATGAAACTGGAGTACCATGTTTACGTATATAAACCAAACCGAGCACATTTAACCATCATTTTCTGGTCTCCGGCAGTAAATGTTCTGGCTTGGGCCATACAAATTCTGAAAAAGAGCAGATTTATATTAGAAATCAACCAAAATATATGGCATACATATATGATACAGCTAATTCCAGAAATAAATTTCTATTCTGCCTCATCCTACTGAATACGGAGTGAATCTGATTTGTACAGCATTTGAAATACTGGCTATCCAAAAACTAACACAGCAAACACTTCTAAAGGATTGCCTTCAGTTGGAAAATCAGACAGATTGGGCTGTAGACATTGTTATGTACAGCTGATTGATGCACCTCTCTATAGGTACGATTATGTTCTTCCAGCTTTTCCTTAAAGAACACCTCCCACTGACTCCTAGAAATGTAACCATGTTGATAATTGGAAAGGAAGCAATGGTGTTGCCAAGGCTGGATAGCTTTAACCCTCACCCAGCACAATCCCCATTTCTAAACATAATTGTAGTGCTCAACTGCTGACATTCCAAGACTTGGTAGGGGGAGCGAGAGAGACAAAATCAATGCCATGTGGCTGTATGCCACATCCTGGCAGGAAAGAGAAATCTGGAAGTGAATTACCCACTGCCACTGTTGATTGCAACTTATAAGGTTACATTGAAAGAAGGTTGAGAGCAGATGGTGTGCCTTTAGTTGAGGAAACAGCTCCAAAGCAACAAACAGTGTCTGGAATGCACTGTAATTCATACAACACTTGCTTCATTCATTTCTTACTTACAGCAAGAAGCTTAAGAAAAACCTCCTGCATAATTTCTAACTTTTTTATGATTTAAATGATCAAATCATTTTATAGTACTCACATGTATTTTAATAGGCTCCAGCTCAACTTTGCTGATATTTATATAAATGCACACATCATGGAACTCCGATCCATTTTTAAATACTAAAACTGCTGAAATTTGTGTCTTTCCCCAATGCATTAATTCCATTAGATAAGAACGAATTTTATACAAGGCCGTGTTCTGATTGGATGCTGCAGAAAACTGTGGCAAAATGCCCTTTTTGACAGAACTAAATTCTCAAAAAATATGGGGCAGCTGAAATGAATGGAATACATAATTGTGATCAGTAAATGTTGTCAGCTGTGTCTCACAATAAGGTCTCAGCTCTGTAAGAAAACACCCATTTGAAAAAGTGAATTCTGAAAGGAAACCCCGAGGCAGCGAATAAAGACTACTCTCTCCTAGTCTGTAATCACTAGCATTCAATGAGTCCTCACATTATTATAGCTAAACATTAGAGTTCTTATATTGTAATGCGCTAAATGAGGGCCTCTGGCTTGTGGCAGCTGCCTGGTAAGTAGGCAACTGTGAATCTTCTATTAAACCTTTAAAGCAAATCACTATTATCCCTGTTTCCTAGCTGCCTTCCATTTGTTCTGCCCTCTTCCTGCTGGGACATTCTGGTCTGTTGATTATACCTTGGCTGCCATCAATAATATGTCTCTCTGCAGATGGAGGCACACCAGCTGCAAGTTTCGGGGCTTTTGCCCAGTTTTTTTTCCCTTCCTAAACTATGGAGTACTCCATCATCTTGAGATTGTTGGTGTGGAAATACCGAAATGTTTAACAGAGTTGCTAAGCTCAGTTTGCAGCTTTGGAAAACTGAATTGATGGTTGTGGAAATGTACTGCTACACATCCAGTGCACACAATACATGCTTTAGATCGGATGTAAATCTCTGAATAAATCAGAAGTGCTAACTCCAGTTATTTTTTCACTAGTATTTTTGTAAAAGCTTATAATTCCCATTAATAGACTTAAGTTTTTCCAATAGGCAAAAATAAACACTTTCATGAATTGTTTGAATTTCCAGCAGACAAACATCAAAACAATTAACTTTCAAGTGCAAAGTTTTATACTGAGATTTACAGAGCGCAGTCAGTATAAATAAATGCGGACACTTTGTTAGCACACTAAAATGATCTATCTACTTGATGCTGTGTTTAAGGTAAGGCAAAGACTTGCATGCAGTTAATAATGTAATTTGTCCCATGCAAATTAATGCATGATAGTTTTAATGAAGTAAGCATACAAAAACACTAGTCATTTTAAATGTGTGGATGGGCAGTGTGTATGGTAATGATGGATGGCCATACCATACCTTCTGTCAGAGAACACTCTAAACAGTTGTCATGTTGGTGCTTCCAAAAACATGTCCTTTAACCAATATAAAGAAGTAAGCGTGAAATAAGACAAAAAAAGCACAGGACAGTACAACAGTAAGTATTTTGGATTGTCTACCAATGAATGTACAGGTCGAGCTGTGGAATTCAATGCTAGATACAGGACAAGCTTTTTCTCTGATTAGTGAAAATTGAATGGTCCCCTTTTACAGATTGATTATTAAAACAGGGTGCACCTCCCTCATTCTCAATCCGTGGTCCAACACATGCTCTGGTCTTGGGGTGAGGGGCTATGGCCAGAGCTGCTGAGGTCGGACTAAGGGAGTGGGGGCCTGGGGACAAGTTGACCTCCTGTGGTCCAGCAAATTCACTGACTGCCTGGCCCTGAAGCCACCAGTTGATGGAGGTAAAACCTACAATTTGTACTTTCAAAACACTTTTTCCACAAACATACTTATTTGATGGTGGGCAACAATTGGAAAATTAATAAGCGTGGTGAAGGAAACAAAAGAGACAAAGAAGGAGTGAAGCTCTTAGTCCCTGCAAGGCTTATGGCAGTGGGGGAGGTGAGCAAGTGGAAGTGTTGAAGGAGAGAACTTTGGAGCATAGGTGCTTAGTGGCTGAAGGAACAACAATCAGAAGGGAAAAAAATCATCAAAACCTGTGAATGATGCTAATTGGTCTGACTTGTTTTGTATGACTTGGAACAGTGCTCCAATATGACCAGTACATTCATTTGCAAGTATTACTGGTTTCCTTTACTGGGTTTTCCCTCTGGGTAACGGAGGACCAAGGGACGGGAAAGAAGAGGAATGAAGAATACATTAAGGAATCTGTGGCCAGAAGAGATTGTAAAGCCAGGGATGGATAATGTCGCAAGGAAGATGTTACAGTGAGGACGCCCTGGAGGAAATCTAAGTATAAGTGCAGACACCTAGAAGTCAGTTCTCCAGGATGCAAGGAGCAGTAGACAGAAAACTTGGTATGATAATACTGTAGGCATGCAGTGAATCATGGCAGTCCAGCTAATTTGTAATTATTGGATGGTGTAAGTGTGAAGACTTTTATTCATATTATTCATTCACAAGATATGGGCTTCACTGATAGGGCAGCATTTATTACCCATCCCTAATTGCTCAGAGGCCACTTAAGAGTCAACGAAATTGCTATGGGTCTGGAGTCAGATGTAGGCTAGACCAGGTAAGGATGGCAGTTTCCTTCCCTAAAGGACATTAGTGAATCAGATGTTATTTATTCCCACAATTGGTAATGATTTCATGGTCATCATTAGACTCTTAATTACAGATTTATTTTTTATTGAATTCAAATTCTACCATCTGCCAAGGCAGGATTTGAACCCAAATCCCCACAACATTGAGGAGAAAATTACTGCAGATGCTGGAATCTATACTGAAAACAGCAAATGCTGGAGATCACAGCGGGTCAGGCAGCATCCATGGAGAGAGAACAAGCTAATGTTTCGAATCTAGTTGACTCTTTGTCAGCTCTGATGAAAAGTCATCTAGACTCAAAACATTAGCTTGCTGTCTCTCCATGGATGCTGTCTGACCCACTGTGATCTTCAGCATTCATTGCTTTCCCCACAACATTGCCTGGATCTCTGAATTAATGTCAAAGACAACATTTAAAATATCCAGCCGCCAGGTTAAAATGGTGCAAGTTAAATGGTTGCCATCACAGGGGGAAAGCTGTACAAAAGTAGGGTTTTTTAAAACCCAAACCAGACTGGGATGGTTTTGGCAAAGAGGCTCAGATGATAACATGCAGTCCTAGAATTAGCCCAAATAGGCTGGTGAGGAATTCATTACACTTCACGTCAGATCATCACAGATGCTAACAAGAATGGAAGATGATAGCTTTGATTTTGCTGGTAGATAACTGCAGGAGGTTTTGATGTGTTATCTAAATTTTTAAACGATAATCAAGTCAGTCAGAAGGTAGAAGACGTGTGTTTACACTCAACTACAAGTAAGTACTATGGTAATGACAAAGAAAAAGATGTTCCAGTATGGACCAAAACATTAATCGATGGAAATAAGACGGACTGCATCAATCAATTCAACTACCTAGGAAGCAAACCAAAACTAATTTTACAAAATTAAGTAAGAAGAAGTTTGAGTCTTGGAACAAGAATCTATGTACTCAAATGTTATGTCTGGTCAGAAATGAATAATGGACGTGAAGCTTGGAACATTGGGACAGAAGAAAAGGAAATCAACAGCTGCAAAGTGCACTTCTTAAGAAGGATCCTAAGGGTAAGCCTGAGAACTAATATACCAAATGAGACTGGAAGAACAAGAGAACTCAATGGAATTCAGAACTACATCACTCGCACAGCACTTAGATAACATTGACATCTTGACATCAAATTGAAAGCTAGTAGATACAAGCAAAGGAAGAGTCTAATGCCTCTGTTATAAAAGGTCTATCTTGAGTTTATGCAAACAGCAACTACACTGCAACAAGGTCCTTAATCTGTACGAAAAGTGGTAACTCAAGGTGAGCTTTCTGAGTGAACTGGGTGAAGCAGACAATTTTGAGTTGGTAGAATTCTGAATGACAGAGGGTGACAATGTATAATTGAAAAATTATGCTGTGAAAAATTATACCTAGAAAGATCCTTTCTTACTGGATGAATTAATAGCTTCAAAAGTGTTTTTCTAATTTACAGTTCTTCAGCATGACTTACCTGAATCCATAATGACACTTATGGAAGCATCATAGATGTCCAAGAATTGGTGAGGAGTTAAAAGTTCATTTGATTTCAGGAGACATTCAATCAACTCCTGGGGAACAATCAGTTCTGGCACATTGTCCAGCACAGAACTGAGTGGTTTATTGGGGAATTCCTAGGAAAATGGGAACAGAATTATATGTCAATCTTCATACACCCATATTATGCTGTGTCATTAAACTGGTCCAGTTTAGCATCAAATGGGAAAAAGCTATGATATTCATTTCCACTAAAATTTGTTTTCACTGTAGATTTGTTTAGCCTTAACAAGCAATTGTACAGTGCCTGATTAAATTGCAACAAACCTTTTAATATCTAAATGTTTATTTAGTCATATACTTTAAATTTGACATTACATCATGATATCCTGCTTTTTAAATATACACTAGATTTACAATATCAATTAAATTAATGCTCAGTATTTTAATTGTGTGTCAGATCACCTTTTAACAGTTTTTTAATGCTAATTTGACTTAAATTTATAATGATTGTTTCAGTCTGTATTCTAAGCACCACAAGAAAATTTACTTTTTTAACTACATTGTCACTTCACGTCACATTATATTACTATAAAATGTAGATCATAGTGTTTTGGGATTTCTGTACTCTCTCTGTTATATCCACATCTGCTATGTACACAAGTTGGTTTGAACCAATAACATTTTTTTCCTGAAATAAGGGAGAAGTAAGTAGAAATTAAGTGAACCGCCATGGGGGGCACAGTTTCAATTCCAATTATGTGGAATTTGAACATTCTCCCTGTGTCTGTGTGGGTTTCCTCCGGTACTCCGGTTTCCTCCCACAGTCCAAAGATGTGCAGGTTAGGTGGATTGGCCATGCTAAGTTACCCATAGGGATCAGGGATGTGTAGGCTGGGTTGATTAGCCATGGGAAATGCAGCTTACCAGGACAGGGTAGGGACATGGTTCTAGGTGGAATGCTTTTTGGAGGGTAGATATGGACCCAATGGGCCAAATGGTTTGCTTCCACACTATAGGGATTCTATGATAAGCCATTAATCACTTATTGAGTCTGTAGCTAATAATGTACATTGGACAATAATGACTTCTATTTATACAGGATTTATAATATGTAAATATTTCTGAATGTTCTTTGCAGAGGTAGGAAAATAATTTATATCACTGCCTGGATTTTTGCTCAGTCAGGATAACTTGGGAGTCTTTTAAAAATGTCCTGGTCCATTGTGACTTCAGTTAACTAGACCCCAAGCTCTGGAATTCCATTCCTAAACTTCTCTATCTCTCTAGCTCGCTTTCACATTTAAGGCACTTCTTTAAAATTTACCTCTTTGGCCAAACCTTTGGTCATCTGACCTAATATCTCTTTTTGAGTCTTGGTGTTATCTCTTATATTATAATATTCCTATGAAGTTCCTTGGGCATTTTATTACATTAAAGGTGCCATAGATACCTAGGAGTTTGTAGCTATTCCTGTACAGCACTGAAGATTTTAGATAAAGAGGAAAGGGGAAGATGTGTTTGATACAACCATCTATTATCACTATTGGAGATATTATGAAGATAAATAAACTCTTGGGAAAACTTGCCAATATTTTGGAAACTGAATTAATCTGAATTTTCTTTGGCTTCAACTATCTCACATATTCTCTTGAATTTCATGTTGTTCGTGATAATTATCTAAAATATACTTCTACTCTTTCAATTTATGATGTATCTATCCATTGTTTTTAATTTGGGAAGAAGAGCAGCCAAAGTTAATCTAACTTGCCAAATGGAAAGCCAACAGTTTCAGGTGGAAAACTTTTATATCGTATCCAATGAGACAATTTTAATCAATTCCAACAGTCAACAAATTGAAGGGATTGGGTGCAATATTGGTTTTACACTGCCTGATGTTACTGTCTATACAAGTCAATGAATAGTATTTAATGAGACATAAAATCAGCAATTCAACTTCTCCTGTGTACCCACCAAGTGAGTTTGGTTAAGTTGTACAATCTACATTTATGTTTGAGTTATTCATTCTGATTTGCTTTTTTCTCTTTTTGATTCGTTTATTGTTAGTAGAGGTCCACACTTTGAATGAACCTAATATCTGTGCTCCTACCAGTTAACTAAACAGACCTGTTTTTATTAGTGATAACAATAACAAGTTGTAGAGCTGGACGAACACAGCAGGCCAAGCAGCATCACAGGAGCAGGAAAGCTGACGTTTCAGGTCTGGACCCTTCTTCAGAAATGGGGGAGGGGAAGGGGATTCTGAAATAAATAGAGAGAGAGGGGGAAGCGGATGGAAGATGGATAAAGGAGCAGATAGGTGGAGAGGAGATGGGCAGGTCAAGGAGGCGGGGATGGAGCCACTAAAGGTGAGTGTAGTTTGGGGGGGTTAGGGTGGGGGTTGGTCAGTCCAGGGAAGACGGACAGGTCAAGGAGGCGGGGATGGAGCCAGTAAAGGTGAGTGTAGGTGGGGAGGTAGGGAGGAGATAGGTCAGTCCAGGGAGGATGGACAGGTCAAGGGGGCGGGATGAGGCTGGTAGGTAGGATGTGGGGGTGAGGGTTGAGGTGGGAGGAGTGGATAGGTGGGAGGAAGTACAGGTTAGGGAGGCGGGGACGAGCTGGGCTGGTTTTGGGATGCGGTAGGGGGAGGGGAGATTTTGAAGCTTGTGAAGTCCACATTGATACCATTGGGCTGCAGGGTTCCCAAGCAAAATATGAGTTGCTGTTCCTGCAACCTTCGGGTGGCATCGTTGTGGCACTGCAGGAGGCCCAGGATGGACATGTCGTCCAAGGAGTGGGAGGGGAGTTGAAATGGTTCGTGACTGGGAGGTGCAGTCATTTGTCGTGAACCGAGTGTCGGTGTTCGATAAAGCGGTCTCCAAGCCTCCGCTTGGTTTCCCTGAAGTACAGGAGGCCACAGGGAAAAGTGCCAGGGATGGTGGGGCTGGTGGGGAGTGTGGAGCGGACAAGGGAGTCACGGAGAGAGTGGTCCCTCCGGAAAGCAGATAAGGGTGGGGAGGGAAAATTGTCTTTGGTGGTGGGGTCGGATTGCAGATGGCGGAAGTGTCAGAGGATGATGCATTGGATCCGGAGGTTAGTGGGGTGGTACGTGAGGATGAGGGGGATTCTGTTTTGGTTATTATTGCGGGGAGGGGGTGTGAGGGATGAGTTGCGGGAAATGCGAGAGACGCGGTCGAGGGCATTTTTGACCACTGTGGAGGGGAAGTTGCGGTCCTTGAAAAACGAGGACATCTGGAATGTCCCAGAGTGGAATGCTTCATCTCAAGAGCAGATGCGGCGGAGGCGAAGGAATTGGGAATAGCGGATGGCATTTTTGCAGGAAGGTCGTGTATTCTAGGTAGCTGTGGAACAGCCCCAGCACCCCCGGCACTTTTCCCTGCAACCGCAAGAAGTGCTACACCTGCCCCTACACCTCCCCCCTCACCCCCATCCCAGGCCCCAAGAAAACCTTTCACATCAAATAGATGTTCACCTGCACATCTGCTAATATGGTATACTGTATCCGCTGTTCCCATTGTGGCCTCCTGTACATCGGGGAAACCAAGTGGAGGCTTGGGGACCACTTTGTGGAACACCTACACTCGGTTCGCACTAAACAACTGCACCTCCCAGTCATGAACCATTTCAACTCCCCCTCCCATTCCTTGGATGACATGTCCATCCTGGCCCTCCTGCAGTGCCACAACGATTGCCACGGTTGCAGGAACAGCACCTCATATTTCGTTTGGGAACCCTGCAGCCCAATGGTATCAATTTGGACTTCACAAGCTTCAAAATCTCCCCTCCCCTGACTGCATCCCACAACCAGCCCAGCTCGTCCCCGCCTCCCTAACCTGTCCATCTTTTCTCCCACCTATCCCCTCCTCCCACCTCAAGCCCCAACCCCACCTCCTACCTACCAGCCTCATGCCCGCCCCCTTTACCTGTCCGTCTTCCCTGAACTGACTAACCCCCACCCTAACGCCCCACCTACACTCACCTTTACTGGCTCCATCCCCGCCTCCTTGACCTGCCCGTCTCCTCTCCACCTATCTGCTCCTTTATCCATCTTCCATCCGCTTCCCCCTCTCTCTCTATTTATTTCAGAATCCCCTTCCCCTCCCCCAATTCTGAAGAAGGATCCAGACCCGAAACGTCAGCTTTCCTGCTCCTCTGATGCTGCTTGGCCTGCTGTGTTCATCCAGCTCTACACCTTGTTATCTCAGATTCTCCAGCATCTGCAGTTCCTACTATCACTGTTTTTATTAGACCATTAAGAAACAGTAGCCCATTGTTTCTCACTTCCTAGATTACAACTTCATGCCAGTGTGTGAGTACAAAATTTAGATGAAGAATCTATACATTTATGCTTTTACTTCTCTTGACTTTCCTATTCTACATAAAGGTTTGTACCTGCTTGTCCTATTGAATCTTTCTTTACAAAGGAGTCGGTGTTTAGCAACTTCAAATGGAAGAGAGCAGTCTAATTTTCGGTTTAGTCGTATAAAGGCCTTGTTTAAAAATATTGATGCTCAGAATCCCACTTTGGTCCTGAAGGTGTGTTGTCTTCTTGATGATTTAGTACACTTAAAAAGAAAGCTTGCACTAATATAACACCACTCGCATTTTAATGGCCAAATAACTTCACAGCAGATCGCTTGCATTTATAAGTGTAACCACTAGTAAGTAGACAACCAATTTACTTGCAGCAAGATACCACAAGCAATAATGAGGCAAATGATCAGTAGATTTGATTTTGAATGGGATAGGTTGAGGGATAAATGTTGAAGAGACACATCCTCCTGCTCTTCAAATCATGGATTCATCATCCACCTTATCATGGAGTCAGTTTTTGGCCTCTCATTCAAATGTGGTGCCTTCAACAAGAATTAACTTCCCCAGTCTTGCGTTAAACTGTCAGCCCATGTTACAGGCATCAGTCCTACAGTGGAGATTAACCTCACAACTTTCTGACTTAGAATTAGAAGTATCATCACTAAACCAACCTAGTGCATAAGGATTATTTACTGCCTTTGCTAAATTAATAAACAGTATTACTTATTATATCAGATAGTAAACTGTACCATAGTATAAATTGTCAATTAATTTCATTTTCTTAACCAGAATAGGTAAATGACAAATGGAGTTTTAGCCTGCTGTGCCAGATGGAGTTTATGCAATACTGTGCATGCATATTGTCTAGAAGCTGAAGATGATGCTATTCTGATGGAAGAGTGATTCTCATGGATAGAAGAGCCTCATGATAGCTGATAAGAGTGCAGAATTATCTAAACCATATTAAATGTTGTCCCACTTGGCTGGGAGCATTATACAACTCAAGCAAATTAAAGAAAGAAGATGGGAAAACAGATTGTTATCAAGAGAAGTAAACAAAGCAGTATCTTAATAGACAAAAATTAGTTTTGTTGAGATAACTACTAGCTACCTTGTAGGTTTTCTGCATGTGTATTCCCAGCTTAAGAAGCAAAGTTAGAAATTCACTGATGATCTTCTCAATTGGTTCCCCCTGTAAAGTATCATCCAGACGTTCTGCAGTGATATTCAGGACATTATATTCCCATTGCTGGAAGAGTCTGCTTGGAATGTTATGTGACATTAACAGAATTTTGGGCTCCAAAAGTAAAGCTCTGAAACAATTTGGAAATAGACAAATATTTTAAAATTCAAGACCTTTAGGCTCTTCTCCCATTCCCATTATTCTGCCATAACTTCAGTGAAATCCCTGGAGAAACAGCATAAAGACACATTTGCATCATTTTAGTTAATTATCAGTTGCAGTGAGTGATTTGAACCAACCCTAGAGAATGAGCTACAATGTTGACTTGATTAAATTGGTGATAACAATTAGCGCAGAAAAATTACAAACTGCCACCTATGGAGTTCTCAAGTTGTGTGCTTTCTTAATATTTCAATCTCCTTAAAAATATCTTTCTGAATACATGTATGCTGTCAGATTTGCTTTGAGATTGGCTTTTGTCTAATTCTTCAGCAATCAGTTAAGTTTCTGCATATGCAAATTCCTCCACCTGCTCCTTAATAAACTATTCCATTTCTATGCTATATGCACTGCATGACTGCCCTATGCATAACTTTGATAGCAGGACTACCTTTTAACACAATACCTCTACCTTATGGGCTCCTTTTGGCTATTTTGAACTTTGCAGCAGGAAACATTCTAAATTGTTTCTGGAATCAAATTGAACATGTTCTTTTTTCCCACTACTGCTTACAATCCAGAACTGAGGGCACTTGCAAAATTTATTGAAACCTGTGGGAAGCTACAACCAATGGAAAACTTCCACAAACCTTTGAATTAATTCATGCACAATGAACACCCTTTGAACATCATGATCAGCTTTTTACCCATACTGTTCCCTATACCGTTCAGTTCAGTAAAAAGATTAGTCCAAGCGGGTTTTCCACACTCAGGGGATTTAGTTTCCAAGGACTTTTCTTGATTGCCTGCCATAATTGTGGTGAAAATTCCAGAAAAATAGCATACACTAAGCCATGGCAGATAAAATAGGAAAACCGTCAGAGAATTCGCCACTTCCATTATTGTGTTCAGATGGAAGCGTATGTGTGCAAAAGAGACAAAGATGCAAACTAATTGCTAATTTTACAGATGTTCGGCAAAGTAAGGGTATTGGAAGAATCTGCAAGGAAATCCCCAGAGGTAATCATAGAGTCATAGAATCCCTACAGAGTGGAAGCAGGCCATTCAGTGCCTCAAGTCCACACTGACCCTCTGAACAGCATCCTACCCACACCCTCCCCACTACCCTATCCCCGTAACCTTGCATTTCCCATGGCTCACCCACTTAGCTTGTACATCCCTGGACACTATGGGGTAATTTAGCATGGCCAATCCACCTAACCTGCACAACTGTGGACTGTGGGAGGAAATCAGAGCACCAGGAGGAAACCCACTCAGACACGGGGAGAATATGCAGACTCCACACAGACAGTCGCCCAAAGATGGAATTGAAGCGACTCCCTGACGCTGTGAGGCAGCAGTGCTAACCACCGAACAGTTAATCATTTTGCATGAGGAACTCGCCCCTTGCATCTGTGCCTTACAATAAAATGGTATCTTTCCCGGCTATCCACAATAACCAATACTTGCAATTCTTTCCTTTCTCTCCTTTCAGTGAAAGAGAGGATGCAACCTAAGGGAGAGGAGATGGGGGTGGGAGGGTGGGAGGGTGTAGCGAAGGAGAGGATGCAACCTAGGCGAGAGGAGATGGTGGGGTGCAGTGGTGAGGTGTAGGTGGTGCTCCTCCAGTGTCAGGTGCTTTACGTGCCCACTTCCTTGAGCAGGAAGAAGGTCTTGTTCCAGGAAACAGCAGTGAACATTGATGACAAGCTAAGCATCCTTAAGGACTGGTGCTTGGACACGTCCAGACCATTCACTTGTAGAGTGTATGATTGCACCTTCTTGGTGCTGGATGCCCTGTGAATGTGGCTGAGGAGCAGGAAGTTGAAGCTACTGCTACTGCTACTGCTACTGCTACTGCTAGGGTGCTGGAGCTGTTTCTCTTGTCCGGTGCCCCCCAGCAAGGGTACAACCTGCAGCTGCTTCAGTTGCACCCATGCTGCGGTGAAAGCTGGCAGAAGCTGAAGGTGAGTGAAGTGCTAGACAGGTTAAAAACCACTTCCAAGCAGTTGGCAGCTGCTTCTCACCTGCCCATGACTGCAGCACTTCAGTCTCACTAATGCCAGGCCCAGAGGCCTGACAGTTTCATTCCCTATTGTGCACTTACCTCAGTGACCCCGCAGCGTCGCTAGCACCTTGGGAAATACATTGCCCTGGTTGTTACATCCAGAATTTGTGACTAAAATGGAGTTTAATGTCCACCAGCTGTACAGAGGTCTCCACACAACTTCAGATGCACCCTTGGAAACCTCGCAGAGTGTGGAATGATATCAAGTTCCCAACCCAGTGTCATCTTTAGGGGATTTAAATGCCCACATGCACCCAAAACTGCCTGCCCTTGCCTGCAAAAAAATTCACCCTCAAAGTCCAATTAGCATAAATACATAGAATCATAGAATCCCTACAGTGTGGAAACAGGCCCTTTGGCCCAAAAAGTCCACACTGACCCTCAGATCATCCCACCCAGACCCATCCCCATCCCCCTTTAACCCACCTACTCTACACATCCCTAAACACTAGGGGCAATTTAGCATGACCAATCCACCTAGCCTGCACATCTTTGGACTTTGCGAGGAAACCAGAGCACCCGGAGGAAATCCGTGCAGACATCGGGAGAATGTGCAAACTCCACACAAACAGTCACCAGATGTCTCTGGTATATTTTCCAATTGTACATATTATTATTTCAATATCCCTTAATTTTAGATTATACTCTTTTTATAGACATTAAAAGACCTGCACAATTGAATTCTGAAGGTATCAAACAATGGCTGAATATGGCTGCTGACCTAATTCTGAACAGGTGACCTGGTCAGTGGAATATGACCTCCTGCATATCTATGGATGGGGTCATCTGCAAGCAAGATGTGAAGCTGGAATTAACAACAACGAGATAGTCACTGACAGTGGTGATCATTGGAGGTTGACTGTGTGGAAGGCCAATGGAAGAGCTAAGCAAAAATGAAAAGCTCAGCCAGCCAAGAGGAAGGCTCACAGAAAGCAGAGGCCAGCAGATCATACATCCTGTCAGCACACCTTAATTCCTTCCCAGAAAATGTGGCATTTCAGAGTGGGGTTCCTGCACATCGCCAGATGATGTTTAACACTATGTGGCCATCAACTCCTCCATCCCCTTCTTCATGGTTACATATGCACCTGGATGAGCCTGGGTGAGGGAGCACACATTGCTCACTGGCACACTTGAGGCCTTTCACAGTGAGTACTGTAGGGGCTGGAGTCATTATCTTTGCCCAAGACCACATTTTAATTTCAGTTTAAATTTGCTTTGTGTGTTTGATTTTTATCATGATACTCGATGGCCATCGACAGGCCCTGGCAGCAGGTCATGGCTGTCTTTAGATCCAACTGCCAACCTTTGTCCTGTGGGTCAGTCAGCATCCTGATGTCCCTGGAGAGGCAGCATGTTGTGCCCACTGGTATTCTCAAGGTTTCTGCAACAACTGGGTAGTGTGATGGCATTATCTCTCCACAAAACAACATTTCAAGTTACATTTTAATTTTGCTTTGAATGTTTGATTTTTGTTACACTGCCCTGTGAGGAGCTACTACCTTTTAAAACCTGATTTAAATAGTTTAATTCAAATGTTCTTTTCCAAAAGAGTATAGGGAAATATTATAGTGCTCTTGTGCAGTGGTAACCTCAGGCCAGGAGATTCGGGTTCAAGTCCCACCTGCTCCAGAGGTGTGTGGTAACATCTCTGAAAATGTTGATTAGAACACAGCTGTAAGGAGATATTGCAGTGTTCCTGTGGCACGTTGGTAGTGTCCCTACTTTTGAGACCTGGGTTCAAGTCCCACTTGCTGCAGAAGTGTGTCATGCACATCTGATCAGGGGATTAACAATATCTTTAACGAGATACTAGGTGGCGATTCATAGGCCCAAGTGGCAGGTTTGTTGAAGAAGTCATTAGACCCTATTGCCTGCTTCCTCTGAGGTTATGTTTGTGTCTAGGTGCTCCCGGGGAGGGAGTGTGCAGTGTCCACATCAAGGTGTCTACAACTGGAGGGCACCCCAGGGGATGGATTGCATTATCTACCACCCATAGTGACATTTAGTTTTGTTAAGCTTCATTTCCCCACCTTTTTTATGACAGTGTCCCTTTAATGGGCTGTCAGGTGGTTTGTTTTCAAAAGAGTGTAAAGAGACACATTGAAACTGGTGACATGTTTGAGTCAGGAAGTGTTTGCTAATGATGCTTAACTCTTTCAGTAAATCTAAGATTGTGTCAACGATTGGCTGCAGTACCCTACTTCTGTAACTTTTTATGGACATTAATAGACCTGCACAATTGAATTCTGAAGGTATCAACAATCTTTGAATGTGGCTACTGACGTAATTCTGAACAGGTGACCTGGCCAGTGGAATATGACCCCCTGCATATCTATCGATGGGGTCATCTGCAAGCAAGATGCATTGGAAGATGCTGGGGAAAGACAGCAAGGTGGGAAGATGGTGAGAGAATGAATGACCCTGTAAAAGAGGAAACAATCCCTTCAGGAAGGAGAGATATGACTCAGACATCAAACATCTGAATTATTACCATTGTGATACAGTGTAACAGTGTAGCTTTACCTTTCTTGTTGTTGCATATCTTTTAGATCCCGGATCACTGAATATAATACATCACTGGAAGACTGTGGGTAAAGGAAAATGGTCAATGCAATGGACAATGTGTTCAAGAGCACTGATTTTATTTTCATGAAGGCATTTTCTATGGATCATGAGTGGTTTCTTTGTAAACCAAACTACATTAAGAATGACTTTACCTGCCATGGGGTAAACAAAGCCAGCTTCCCCTGGGGTGATCGTACCTGGTTCAACTGGTTGTCATCGGCAACAGTGAAGTTGTCCAAAATCTGTAGTAGTTTGCTTTTACCCTTTACTTTACCTCATTTCTAGAGCAATGGTTGTTGAATAAATGCAACTGTAGCTTGGCTTCATTTTGACAAATGAACAATTACTGCAATGACATCACTGATGAGCAGTAAACTGAGGAAAGGTAAAAGCAAACTATTACAGATTTTATGGATGGTCTATGGAGACAAGAGGAAAATTAAAGAGAAGAAAAGCATTGGGGAAAGTACTAACTGAAATAAATAATAATTGTGCAACCATAAACTCAAAGAAAATCCCATGCATACTAGCACGGCTCATCATGATGATCACTGCCTAACAATGGATCTCTCTACTATATCGTAGGAAAACATTTCAGCTTTGACGTCTTCACCAAGTAGGGATACTAATACTACTAAAAAGTGGAGAACAGTGGAAAAAGAAAGTATCCCCAGGGGTAAAATTTCCACTGGATTGTGCTCTTGTTACCAGCACAGTTTGCTCAAAATTAGTCAAGCCACCACAAAAGCCTCCAGAAAAAATATTTCCACAGACTGTAAATCCAGTTTCCCCCATCCTTTGTGCGATTTAAAAAGCAGCATACTAAAAGCTTGGTCTGTCCTGATCAAACTCCCAGACCTAATTATACACCATTTGGAGTTTCTGCAAATTGCATCGATTTGAGCCTTGCAGACGTTCTTATAATTAAACTTTTTTTTTAGCAGGGACGGCGCACAAGCAGTAGGCATGTTTTAAAGGTTTTTTGACTTTTTTTCCATTATTTACCAAGAAACTGCCTCTTATACATTAATATAGCAGTGAAATGGCTCTGGATAGATTTTTCTTTAAAGTCATTTTCAATTTTTTATAATCTGCTCATTCACAGCTGGTGGACTAGACACACTAATTGAAAATGTTAATTTCTTGAGAGAAACCCATCAACCATAGAGCTGTGATAACAAGGTGTAGAGCTGGAGGAACACAGCAGGCCAAGCAGCATCAGAGGAGCAGGAAAGCTGATGTTTCAGGCCTGGACCTTTCTTCAGAAAAGTTCCTACTACCACCACACAGCTATACCTTTCAGGGCTACCAGTGTCATCAAGTTACCAATCATATCAACAAATAGTTTTTTTAAAAATACTTGGCATTTTAAAAAGTATTTCCTAAAATGCTAAACAATTGCAAAGCTTCATAGCAGATTTTATGTCTTGGTAATATGTAGAGTCATTAAGTCATAGAGTTGTACAGCACGGAAACAGACCCTTCGGTCCAATTCGTCCATGCTGACCAGATATTCTAAATTAATCTAGTCCCATTTGCCAACATTTGGCCCATATCCGCCTAAACCCTTCCTATTCATATACCCATCCAGGTGCTTTTTAAATGTTGTAATTATACCAGCCTCCACCACTTCCTCTGGCAACTTGTTCCATACACGTATCACCCTCTGCGTGAAAAAGTTGCCCCTTAGGTCTCTTTTAAATCTTTCCCCTCTCAACTTAAACCTATGGTCTCTAGTTTTGGACTTCCCTACCCTGGGGAAAGGGCCTTGGCTACTCACCTTATCCATGCCCCTCATGATTTTATAAACCTCTATAAAGTCAGCCCTCAGCCTCTGACACTCCAGAGAAAATAGCCGCAGCCTATTCAACCTCTCCCTATAGCTCAAACCCTCCAATCCTGGCAATAGGGCATCCCACATGTAATTGTGTTTGAGCTGAAATTTGGCGTGCAAAAATACTTTTGAAAACCTGCAGAAATGTGGCCTAATCACAAATTGCACCCAAAGCAGAAACTCTGACCTTGTATTTTTTAACTACATTGTTTTGTGGTAGGTATCATTCTTATGATATGTAACTGTGGAAAAAAAAATCAGGAGACTATAGGATGAGCAGTCAGAATAATAATGAGATGTAGGGCAAATGCTGACCAATTTTTTAAAAGCATGCAAAACAGGTAATTTTTGGCAATATATGTGGATAAGTAGAAACGAATTTGGTATAGCTCAGCCACATAAAACCTTTGTTATCGGGATAACCCAAAGCTCCCATTCCATACAACTTCCATTGTGTGTAAACAATCAGTTACATTTCAGCAGTGTTAAAATAACTGCACTGTACAATATATTAAATACGTTCAGCGATATTGTTGGCAGATTCATTAATAAACAACCTTTTGACCCTTCAATGCGAATTAGCTTAAAGCAGGCATTGTTTAAAAGCATTCATCCACTTTGGACTCATTTCTATGGTGATATCTTTCCAAGCACTAGTTTCTGAAGTAATTAATCTGATACAACTCACTTGTTGCTGCGTTGTACAATGACTGGTCAGCCAAGCATAAGAAATACAATAGAAGGAATAATTGACAGTGTATTGATTACATCTCACTCAGTACAAAGTACTGGCTAGTGTTAGAAATGGAAAAGCTAATTCTAGGTCAAAGGTGTGATCTTGTGTTATGGGGAGAGTATATTTCTTTGATGGAATAGAGGAGGCTTTGAATTGAGAGAGTACTTGAGATACACTTTTCATATTATTAAACAAACTGAATTACGTGATTTTGAACATATGTTTAGTGTGCCTTACTTAGTAATGGGCTGGATTTTACATGCCCAAATCAGGAATGTTGCACACACTTGCCCCCACCCTCTACTCCCCTGACTAATCAAACTGTTGGCGTGATGATGTCAGATTGACAGCCTGCCAATCTCCGATAATATGAACGATGTGTAAATGCTGATAATAATCAGCTGCCCAACCAACATTTTGAAATTTTTACCTAGTAAACTGTTAATCTTGTTAAGATTGCTCAAAATTTTCCATTGCCTGCCGCACTTTTCAGATGTGGACATTAAAAAATATTGGAGTCCTTTACTACAATGTAAACAAGTGGTAGAAAAGACCTGCTTCTGACACCATGGTTGAAAGTGCCAGGAGATCCTGCCAATTAAGGCGGCAGCATCTATAAGTTTCTTTAAAAAAAACTTATCTTTTTTGCACTTGCAGTAGTTAGCAATGCTGCCTCACAGCGCCAGGGACCCGGGTTTAATTCCACCCTCAGGCAACTGTCTGTGTGGACTCCCGTGTCTGCGTGGGTTTCCTCCGGGTGTTCCGGTTTTCTCCCACAGTCCAAAGATGTGCAGGTTAGGTGGATTGGCCAGGCTAAATTGCCCATAGTGTTCAGGGATGTGTAGATTAGGTGGGTTATAGGGGGTTGGGTCTTGTTGGGATGCTCTGAGGGTCAATGTTGGCTTATTGGGCCGAAGGGCCTGTTTCCATGCTGTCAGGATTCTATGATTTTATGAATAAGGCCTGATTCTAAAAGTAGGGGGTCTTTATAGCTTTAGTTATCAATTTTTGAGTTGTGTGACTGCACATTACCCCTTTACTGCATGATGTCCCAGTCGACAGCACTGCTTCTTGGAACTCACCAGTTATGTATTCACACAAGGGTATGATTCATTGTATATTATGAATGTAACCACAACAAAAATCCTCACTTCTATTTTTATCTTAACTCAAAGTCACAAGAACTGACCATATTGTTGAAGGGTTGAATCAGCCCTAGTTAGTTAAAGGTTAAAATTTTAAGTCAGGAATTGTCAATGATTGTAAAAGTAAATGAGGACCATAGATGTAGAAGAATAGGATAGGAATGCACGAGTCACACTATTAGCAAGAATAGTGTCGGCCTTGGGTGAAATGCAGGTAATGCCTGTATGAGAAAAGAGTATGGTACATCAAATATCTGAACAATGTGCCGTGGGAACTACAATACTTAAATTGTGGTATTTTGTCTAAAGCTCGGAAGGGTCTGTAGCCCTGTAGAGTTGGTTTTATGCCTTATACTGATAAAAATAATACTCCTTGAGGATGCCTGATAATAAACAACCATTATCACTATCTGAAACTCCCACCAATTTGTTGAGTTGTGTGGCAACATCATGGCATCTAAAAACTGGCATACTGGGATGTCATGTTGAGGTTGTACAGGACATTGATGAGGCCTTTTCTGGAATACTGTATCCAGTTTTGCTTGCCTTGTTATAGAAGGATATTATTAAATTGGAGAGGTTCAGAAAACATTTACCAGGATGTTGCTGGGACTGGAAAGTTTGAGTTATAAGGAGAGGCTGAACAGGCTGGGACTTTTATCATTGGAGCGTAGGAGGTTGATGGATGGCCTTATAGAGGTTTAAAATCATGTGGGGTATAAATAAGATGAATGGCATGTGTCTTTTCCCTAGGGTGGGGAATTTCAAGATTGGGGGCATATTTTTTAGGTGAAAGGAGAAAGGTTTTAAAAAGACATGGGGGCAATTTTTTTTCCATAGAGAGTGGTTTGTATGTGGAATGAGCTTCCAGAGGAAGTGGTGGATGCAGGTACAGTTACATTGTTTAAAAAACATTTGGATAAGTATATGAATAAGAAATGTTTGAAGGATATGGGCCAATTAGAGGCAGGTGGAACTAGGTTAGTTTGGGATTATCGTTAGCACGGTCTGGTTGGATCAAAGGGTCTGTGTCCGAGCTGTATGAATCTGTGACTCTAAATTGGCCCTGATAATAGCAAGAAGGTTAGAGGGTTTGTGGTTGGGAAATAATATCCTTTGCACCTACAACTGGCCTCTTTCTTATGGACAGCCTGTAATGAGCAATCTGACACTGGATTGGATGCACAGAGACAGCAGGGTCTTGAGGTAGTGGAACTCTTAGTTTCTGGCCTGCCTCTCTGAAAAGCATAAAATGCAGCCCACTGTTTATGTTTCAAATCAAATTGCGCTCGATCTAATGTGAACACAATCCACCCTTGCATTCAGACACCCCACACAGGACATGGTTATCCAGTTCAAGTCACCGAGGGCTGTGTCACTCCTATATTGGGTTATGTAATCAGAAAAATAAATAAAGGACAGAGTGGGACAATTGCATAAAAATCAGACATGTAGGTCATAGAACATCTGACTGGACTCAAGAACATATCTATGGAGCAAACTAGAATTCATAGCAGGCAAGGAGGCCAGTAACTGACCAGGACAGCAATTGATGGCAATGATTGCAGCTGTGTAGGAGCTCCGTTAGGATGAAATAAAACTATTGAACGACACAAGTTGGTTTTCTGTTTACGTTCAGGCTGAAAGGGAAGTATTCTTCTTTTTCAGGCTGAAACTGCTTCTTTCCAATGCTGTTGTAGGATTTAATTTCTTATATCAGTTTTTTCCCATTTTGGAAATGGTGAATTGTGTGCTTCACCATGTCATCTAACAAATACTTCCCATAACTGTGGGAAGCAATGTGTTTTCAGTTTGTTATCTAATGTTGACATGAAGCATATCCATAAACATTTCCATTAATCTGTTTAACTTGTCCTTTTGTCATTTATATTCCTTCCTACTCCACTGTGAATTTACTTCACTATTTTGAATACATGCCAACCTTGTATCCTTGTATATGATCAATAATTTATGCTTTTCAATATTTTCACAAGATGTCAACTTTTGATTTTTTTGACAAATTAAGATATTGGCTTCTTTAATTCATTTCAGTTACCAATACAATCAAGCTATTCAGAGCATATCATGTGCTTTTTTTAATTTATTAAGCATATCTGGAATCATAAAGGAAATATGTTTTACTTTATTTACAGGTATCATATCATGCCTAATCTAGACCTTGACTGTGCTTTTTTCTATACTCCACTCCTGTGAAGTGACATACTTGAATGAAAGGAGTGTTATATATTGTCAGAGTACCTCTTTTCATCTGTAAGTTATTTAATTTTGTTTATCCCAAAGTTTCTCTACATTAAATTAGCTGACATCACTCTTCAAAAACTGCTGCACTTTATTCTTGCTCAAATTTTCAATACAAAAAGGCTCTTTCATTTTCCCATTTTATAAAGTCCCAAGTTGTTAATCTTACCTCTAATACATGAATAACATGGCTAGAATACAGCAACAGGAGACCTGTAATTCCTTCTGCTTGGTGAGAGCACTGGAGTTTCTGAAACAAGTTTTCATAGTATCCTGTAGTGGAACACATAATACGACCTGAAGTTATTTATTTCCAAGTCAAAATCAGTGATGTTTTTATTTTTTTTAATTGCCTCTCACATAGACATCAATTGATGATGCAACAGTCTTGTAAAATCAGCTATCCAATAAACATGTAATGCAATATATCACATTATCTAATTGCTCTGATATAAATATTCATTTCATGGAAATAATTACTCAAATATTGATTCAGCTTCTTTTTGTTCAATTGAACTTTATGTTTATCATTAAAAAGCTGAGGCTGGCAATATTTTACAAAACTGATGCTTTCCCTTGCCTGAACTAATTTATTAACAAATTATGAGATTTAAAGCCGAAAAGAAAAATGAGTCAATTTGAAAAATTATCACCTGCACAAAAACTTATGTTTCCTATCACCTTTATAGTAGTGAACCACCCCAAGGTGTGATTCTTAAATAAAATTTGACACGAGGTCACAAATATTGGGAGTGATTTATTTCAAGGAGTGACTTAAAGCCAGACAGATAGACATGGGGAGAGAATTCCTGAACTAAGCTGTCCTGCTTTGATTTTAAAATTCCTACCTTGTCAGCAAATCCCCTCATGGCTTTGCTGTATTCTTGTAATCTTCATCTAGTCTCCAACCCTTTGAGAATTCTGAGTTCCTCAACATCTGGTGCTCATGCATCCCTGACCTCATTTGGGCAATTGTAGATGGCCCTTGCTTCAACTGTCTTGACCCTAAACTCAGGAATTCCCTCCCCAACAATGTTTACTTTTCCGCCTTTAAAATGCTCCTCCAAATCTATCTCTTAATGTCTCTTTCTTTGACCTGGTGCATTGTTTTATCTGATTACATTCCACTCATGCACTATAGGATTTTAAAGGAGCTATCAAAACTCAGGTGAATCTTGTAAGTGGTTTCTATCAGATAATTCAGCCAAAGCCAATAATGTTTATAAGCTCTTTAGAAAAAAGGAAGGACAAGATTATGGCACAAAATATGCCTACATAGAGTTGTTTTCAGGATTATCCTAAATTGTGGCCTTTTCTTCCCTTTACCTCCACCTTAATGTGCTATTGCCTTAAATGTTCAAGTGTACCTGTCGAGGGAGGGTAAACCAGGAAATGCTGGACGCTACTTTTTCCGAGGCACTGATACTAACCTTTTCAAACAAAAATGTTCCAATACAGTAAAGCACATTCACAAGTCTGTCTTTTGCAAATTTGCTTATTCACATGGTAACTGCTGTACAGTTTTTCACTGATTGAGAATCACTTGCTCACTTAAATGTACTTTTAAAGAGAAAGAAAGAAAAAAAAGTAAAATACTGCAGATAGTTCTGAGGAAGGGTCACCAGACCCGAAACGTTAACTCTGTTTTCTCCTTCACCGATGCTGCCAGACCTGCTGAGCTTTTCCAGCAACTTTGTTTTTGTTCCTGATTTACAGTTTCCACAGTTCTTTTGGTTTTTAAAATACTGCAGATACCTGAGATCTGAAGGAAAAGCAAAACATGCTGGGGAAAGCTCAGCAGGTTTGGCAGCATCTGTGAATAATGTTTCGAGTCCGTTATAGTCAGAACTGAAGGACAGTCATATAGACTTGAAACATTAACACAGATGCCGCCAGACATGCTGAGTTTCTCCAGCAACGTATTTTCTGGAGTTAAAGTGTACACCAAACATTCCTTACATACTGAACTTGCCCAGCTCACTATTTTAGCCATTTGTAAAAATCACTGTTTGTGATGTTGTCTATAAATGAGCCCCCATAAATGATGTGTATTGGGGGGTGATCTATTAATTGAACATATCATCCCCCTACAAGTTTTCCTTTTGTTGGAGATGCCTGGTTGCAGCAATTACAGTCATAGAGTCCTACAGCAGGGAGACAGGCCCTTTGGCCCAAACTGGTCCATGCCGATCAAAATGTCCATCCACACTAACCCCATTTCCCTGCACTTGGCCCATATCCTTCTCAACCTTTCCTATCCACGCATTTCTCCAAATGCCTTTTAAATGTTAATGTACCCACCTCAACCACTTCCGCTTGCAGCTCATTACATATGCGTACCACCGTCTATATAAAAAAGTTGCCCCTCAGGTTCCCACATATTCTTTCCCCTCTTACCTTAAACTGATGCCCTCAAGTCCTCGATTTCCCCAACCCTGGGAAAAAGACTGAGTGCATTCACCCAATCCATGCCTCTCATGATCTTACACACTTCGATAGGATCACCCCTCAGTTTCCTTTGCTCTAAAGAAAAAAGTCCCAGCTTGTCCAACCTCTCCATATAACTCAGTCCTTTGAGACCTGGCAACACCCTTATAATTTTTTTCTGCACTCTTTCCAGTTTAATAACATGCTTCCTCTAGCAAGGTGACCAAAACTGAACACAAGTCCGACCTCACCAATGTCTTCTACAACTGCAACATAACTTACAAACTTCTGTACTCGATGCCCTGACTGATCAAGGTCAGTGTGCCAAAAATAACAATGTGGAGCTGCAGGAACACAGGCACCAGAGGAGCAGGAAAGTTGACATTTCAGGTTGGGACCCTTCCCGTTCCTCTGATGCTGCCTGGCCTGCTGTCTTCCTCCAGCTCCACACTGTGTTATCTCTGACTCCAACATCTGCAGTTCTTACTATCTCTGTGTGCCAAAAGCCTTCTTCACTGTCCTGTCTACCTGTGACTCCACTTTCAGAGAACTATGCACCTGAACTCCAAGGTCCCTCTGTTCCACTACACTCCTTAAGGCCCTAAACTTCACCATGAAAATCCTACCTTGATTTGACTTTCCAAAATGCTACACCTCACATTTAACTTTTTTAAACTCCATTTACCATTTCTCTACCCACTTCCCCAGCTGAACAAGATCCTGCTGCAATTTCTGATAACCTTCCTCATTGTCCACGTTACCGCCTATTTTAGTGTCATCTGCAAACTTACTAATCCTGCCTTGTACATCTTCATTCAAATCATTGATATAGATAACAAACAGCAATGGGCCCAGCACTGACCCCTGAGGCACACCATTAGTCACAGGCCTCCAGTCCAACAAGCATCCTTCCACTATGACTCTCTGCTTCCTACCATGAAGCCAATTTGCTAACTCTCCCTGGATTCCATGCGATCTAACCTTCCAGAGCAGCCTACCACGTGGAACGTTATTAAAGGCCTTACTGAAATCCATATAGACTATGTCTACCACCCTGCCCTCATCAATCTTCCTGGTCACTTCATCAAAGAACTCCAACAAATTTGTGAGGCATGATCTCCCACGCACAAAGCCATGCTGACTATTCCTAATCAAACCCTGTCTTTCCAAATGCATATATATCTTATCCCTCAGAATCTTCTCAAGTAACTTACCTATCTCAGATGTTAAATTTACTGGCCTATAGTTCCCAGGTTTTCCTTTGTAGCCCTTCTTGAACAAGGACAGGATATTCGCTACTCTCCAGTCTTCCGGGACCCCATCCATGGCTAATGATAATGCAAATGATCTTTTTTTGTAAATAATTAATGATAAGATTTTGAGGGAAATACATTAAGTTTAAAAACTGTGGCTAGGAGTACAGTTTTAAAACCTGCCCATGATACCAGACTTGGAGGATGGCAAACAGTGATTATTACAAATTGTCTACAATAGGATCATGTTAAGTTTGGACCCATCTAGAATATTGTGCCTACTTGTGGCTTCCACACTTTATGAAAGATGTGAAGGTAGCTGAGAGGATTCACCAATTTTCCAGAATGCTTTCAAGGGTGGAGGGTTTTAGTTACAAGATTAGTTTGGAAAGGATGGAGTTTATCCTCTTACAGCAATGGAGATTGAGGGCACAACTGCTAGAGGTGTACAAAATTATGAAAGACAAGGCTGACAAAACAAAGCTCGTCCTATTAGCTGATGGCACAATGAAATGTTAGTGCATTTTAAGAAAACCAACTTGCTGAGCTACAGGGATCGAGCAGGAAATGTAACCGACTGGATCATTCTTCAGGGAGCCGCGGCAGAGGGCTGGCATGAACTCGATGAGTCAAATGGCCTCCTTCTGTGTCTGAAACAACTTTATGACTCCAACTGTGTAAAACTCAATTCAGCTGGATCATAAGAAATCTAACTTCTCCAGATACGTAAATGTTGTAAACCCATTAACTGCACATAAGATTAACTTTGCTGAACATTTTGATTTGATTTTCCCATTGAACAACTAAAGCTCCTTGTATGCCTAGGTATAGGTGACCTGCTTGAACTGTGTTTATATGGGCCAAAGTGATGTAAAGTGTTTGTTTATAGGAGTCCTGCCTCCATGGGAAAATAAAGTACGTGGCAAACGCTTGAATGCTCAGGGGGAAAATAAATCACATTAGCTTAACGATTCTGTCACAGTTTACAACTAACACAATTACAAACCTTCATGTAGATCATTGCAAAATGTGTTAGCAAACAAGTGAGAGAGGGATTGTTGTGCTTTTCCATGAAGAAAATCAATAAGTAGTTGATGTAACCTTTTATATTATTATTATTACTCCAATGATTTAGACTGGGTAAAGGATATTGGCAGTCACAGACACAAATGTGTCAACTAAAGTAACAAGATCAAAGAGGGATGGGAGAAAATAAGACCAAGCTGGCAGAAGGATGAGAAATTATAGTGCAACACAATAAGAACACAATGCAAGAAGCAAAGGAGTGCTTAAACCTAGATACTGTTTCCGAATTTTATATAGGCTTTCTCATTTACATAAGAAAACAAGGTTTAAAATATATATCCAAAATATCCACCTTCTTCCTCAACCGAGGATTCCTTAGCTCCGTTGTCGACAGGACCCTCAACCAGGTCCGACCCATCTCCCGCACTTCCGCCCTCAACCCTTCTCTTCCCTCCTGCAACAGCAATATGGTTCCCCTTATCCTCACCTACCATCCCACCGGCATCCACATCCAGAAGATCATCAGATGCCATTTCCGCCACCTCCAGCGAGATTCCACCACCAGAC